TGTCCACTGAGAGACAAGGAGAGGACAAGCGTGAGTTTGTCCACTGAGAGACAAGGAGAGGACAAGCGTGAGTTTGTCCACTGAGAGACAGACAGGGAGAGGACAGGTGCGAGTACGTCCACTGGGAGATGAGGAGAGGACAGGTGCGAGTATGTCCACTGCGAGACAGACAGGGATAGTCAAGTCTGTCTCCAGGTCCTGACCTTCTCCTGAGTGGTGAGGTAGTATCGGAACTTCCAGACCAGGTCCTGCTCCTCCGAGCTCAGCTGCTTGGTGGGGGGGTAGCTGACGATGATCTAAAACCAGAGACACATTGATGATGGGAGACACCATAGACACAAACACACAACTCACTCTGCAGCGTCACAGGCACACACTGTCTCCGAAGGTCCACACCCAGAGGGACCTCTCCCTCAGATACGCTGCACAGACTCACATTGAGCTGGTCGCGGGTGGCAGCGTTGGGCTTCAGGTCATGGTCAGACGGGCCACTGCGCAGACTGCGAGCCAGCTTGTGGTGCTTACTCTCCACCAGGTTCTCCTGCAGACAGCCGGGGAGAGGGAGTGAGCAGGGAGGAGCAGAAAGAAGAGAGCGACAGCAAGTTGGCGATTGGAAGAAAGCAAAATTAGAGAGACAAGGTGAAAGAAAGTGACAGCATGTCGGAGAAAAACCCAACCACGACAGATCTCATAGTGCCAGAATCATGAGAACAACATGAATACACGAACCTTCTAGCATTGTGTTACTTTTTCATTCCAGCATCAATGAGTTGCTGATTTTTACAGGCTGGAAACAGACATACAGTATAAATGAATGAACAAAGAGTTACATTTACCTCACGGTGCTTATAAGATCTTTGATAACTCACACCTGGTTTCTTTCTACTAAAAACACAAATCTGGCACTCTGATGCATAAGAATGTAAGAGAGTATGCAAACAAAAGGAGGATATTCAACCCGTCACTGGCTGTTTGACTGTTTCACAGACAAGTGGAAGTAATACTTTATCCAGCAAGTTCTAAAAAGAGCTCAACGGCTGGTCCTCCACCATCTGGCGTATCTTACTCTCTCCTAAATGAATTTGCATTTGCAAGCCCAGGTCTATGTTTCACTATTGAATGAGAAATCATTACTTGAGTTAACTTTATCTACACCCTTTAGGATCTTATATACTTGGATCAAATCTCCTCTCAATCTCCTTTATTCTACACAGAAGAGTTTTACCTCCATTAAACTGTTTGCATATGACAGTCCCCTGAGATCAGGAATCATTCTTATTGCTTTTTTTATTCCAAGGCTATAATATACTTTCTGTGGTGCAGTGACCAAAACTGAACATGGTATTTTAAGATCTGACTAGTCGATTTCAAAGCTTGAGCATAACTGCCCTGGTTTTAAATCCCACACTTTTTACTCTATATTCAACACTTGAGAAAAGCTTTTGGCTCCTGATGGAGAAACTGCAGGTTTGCAGAAAGACAGTAGGAAGGGAGTAGCTACAGATTTTGAAGTATTCTGCCACAGGCCCAGACATACACTGTAAGTACAACTTGGTACAACCATCACCAATTTTTGTCATTTGTACTTTGTAGTGTGCTGCTTGCGAACAGAGAAGTGCAACAGCAGGGCCTAGACTGAGCACCACAGCCACAGACTGATGACAGAAACAGTGGGCATCTATATTAGCTCCCACTAAAGAAATTCACACACAGCAAGACCCTGTGCATTGCTGTTCGAAAATGACGACCAAACTTTACAAGACCTTTCAAACTGCTTCCACTCCTGAAAAGAGCAAAATATAAAAGGAAGTGGAAAATGAACTAAAAGAGTGACACAGAGTGACATAAGATGTCACATGAGATGCATAAACACTTACCATGGACATCTGAGGGTCAGGCACCTTAACAATTTCAGAGCTGGTGAGGAGAGGAGCAGACTCATCGCCGTCCTGTTGGAAGAGAGCCATCAAGTTTGTACCATAACTGACCATTCAGCGCTTACAATTGTAAGTAAAAGCTCGGGCAATCCTGGTCAAACTGCAAGTTTCATTGACTATCTAAATGAAAGGACGCTAACACAAGCTCTGCAGGGCACAAACCTAAACATGACATATTTCTGCACATTTTAATGCACAACTCCTATTTACTGAATTTTACAGATTGAAAAAATAAAACAGTGAATGTGGTATGTGCAAAAGTTCAGGTGCCCTGCCACTCAGTACTGAAGAACACATCCTTTGGTAGAAATCATAGCTTCTAAATATTTCTTGTAGCTAGTTAAGTCTCTACTCTTGATTTAGGATTTGTTTCCGCACTCTTCCCTGCAGAACTCCTCTACCTCAGAAATGTTCTTGCTTGCACACACTGCATATTGGAGGTTTCCCCACAGACTTTCAATAATATTAAAGTCTGGGGACTGTCACGGCCATTCCAAAACCGTAATCTTTCCCTCCTGTTTATACTTCATGGTTGATTTTGAGGTAAGTTTTGGATCATTGTCTTGCTGAAATATCCAAACTCTTTTCAGCTGCAATTTCTCACTGGTTCTGGGACATTATCATCTAGGATTTTTTTTCTATTTGGTTGAATCAATTCTTTCTTCCACCTGCACAATATTTCCTGTGCCAATGGCTGCCACACAACACCAAAATATAATAATCTAAAAAAATGCTTAAACCGTTTGCAAGGTGTTGTTTTCTTCAAAAGGTTCACCTGTTTTTCTCCAAATGTATCTTTTGTACTTGTGGCTAAAAAGTTCATTTTTTGTTTCATCAGTCCACAGCACTTTGTTCCAAAATGTTTCTGGCTTAAGACATTGGCTTTTGTGATGAAGTCGCAGGAAAGGTTTCCTTCTGATGACTCTATAATGCAGATAATTTTTGTGCAACAGGCTGTGGACCACTACTGTGTTGTCAGCTAATCCTTTCTGCAGGTCCTTTGCTGTGATATGGGGGTTCTTCTTTGCATTCCTGACCAGTCTACAAGCAGTTCTATCAGAGATTTCTCTGGGTCTTCCAGATCTTGACTTGACTTCTACAGTTAACTTCCATTTCTTAATGATATCTCAACATCCTGAGAGGTTAGAAGGGTCAGAGTATTTATTCAACTCTAGAATTGTCTTCACCAGGCTTAACTTAAGGCCTAAGGACTCAATCAAGTTTTGAGGCCTTAAAAAAAAGTATTAATAAATCAAATTTTTGCACATGCCACATTCACTGTTTTATTTTTTAAAATCTGTTAAAATTAAGTAAATAAACAGTAATTGTGCATCAAAATGCAAAAAAATACGTAATGTTTAAGTTTGTACCCGGCAGAGGTTGTGTTAACTTCTTTTCACTTAGAGAGTCAGTGAAACATGACACTTGACCAGGGGTCCCCAAACTTCTGCATTCAACTGTATAACCGTATCATTGTGAGCAGACACACACAGATAGAAGAATCACATCAAAACAAACTACTTGTCCAAAACTGCAAAAAAACCACACAAGAGCACACACAGGTCATCCAAATAAAACTGCTTTTTAACACAGTAGGTCACAGGGCCTCATTATCATCCTACACACAGAGTCTCAGCCATCTCAATCACAATCTGTTAGCTCTAGTCAAAGCCATACTGCATACCGAGCAGCGCTTTCACTGTGTAATATTCTTAAACCACCACCAACTAAAAACAACATGACAAGAAAACAGAAGTTTCAAAACAGGAGATGAGTTCTGTTAACCCTGTGTCCTGAGAGTTATCTTTTCCACAACAGAGCACTGAAAGCATTATTAGCATCACTGAAGCCGGTGTTATCCATAATATTTTTTTTTTCCAGTTGAAGGACCCTTCCAAATGCCTACATGTTGCTCTATACAGAGTGTTTGGGCAGATTGCTCAAAATGGCTAACAGAATGAAACAATCTAGAAACTTTACAGCACATAATTCAATTCAATACATTATTACCATAACAACTAGTTACATGGAATTTGCTTTGGTTAGCTCTTTCAATTAAAGATATACAATAAAAATATACAACGTACAGCCATAAAGACATCCTAAACACACGGCAGTAATAAAATAAATAACAGCGAGATAAGTAACAGTGAGGCCTGATGGAGTAACAGTGTATTAAGTGGTAAGCAGCACGTCAGAAGGCATAAACCAATCAACAAGCTCATGTGACACAGACAAGCAGAGCAGTAGGCAATGCTGTAGAGCCCTGACCTTCTCGTAGTAGACGATGCTGTACTCTCTCTCTCCGTTCTTCACACGGGGAAACTCCACCATCAGGTACATGAAGTTGGAACTCCTCTTCTCGCTCTGCAGACAGAGACAAGTAGGATAAAGGTGGCCTCAAGTCATAATAAACAGGACACAATGAAAAGGAGAAGAGATCTCAGATGAGCAGCTTTGATTGGACCATAAGACACCTCCCTCATGTGGCAGAGAGAGCCAGAAACTGCCCCAGTAATCTGAGCACTGGAAGAGTAATGAACTTTTAAGAAAGGGCCTTTTTCCAAGCTGTCCCAGTGAATAAAGAAATCGTAAACTATGACAAGCACACACTGTGTTTTATTCCCCATCAGTAGAGGGTGGAACTATTCATCTTTATAATTAGCTTATTCGCAAGTGGGTGTCACGACCTGATTTTGACTTGATAATTATTCACACTTCCTCTATTCATTACTACAGAAGTTTTTCAATGTCATGGGGAAAAAACTAAGGCCAGGTGGTGAATTCCACTCCCCATCTACAGTAGCTAGCTACTATCTAGCTACAAAGGCAAGATTAATGTACTAGTTTACGAACTAACAAGCAATCTTATTATTGTAACTACACAATACTATCCTGAACAGGACATTATCTGACCACAAGAACTAGTTTGATTACATAGGATTCATCAAAGATGTAGGCTACACATGATGCCAACCAAGAAAGAAGAATATGGAGGAAGAGCTTTGTGCTTGAAACACGTTGCTATATTCTCTTTTCTGTCAGTATCAAGCCATCAGAGTGTTCCTTTTGCTATTGACGTGCCGTTTATTATTTTGTGCTCATTGAGGCAATAAGTCTTTTTTCCACTTTGAAGTTTAAGTGGCAAGTGACGTAAGGAGACGACATTCAGCTGTAAGGAAACCCTGTATAATAGCTCTCAAGGGTCCAAATCCTAATGCAAGAGATTTTCCGTCAAGAACTGTGATTGCATACTATCTGTACTGATGGTTACTTTTATTCATGTACGTTGGTTAATTAATGGAATTGCAAGTTTATACAACAATTTCAATTTTTATGTTCATTACTTAAGTTTTTGAAAATCAACCTAGACTACAAATAGGTGAGATTTCCAGACCAAACAGTGAGACCGCGACATGTGGTCCCAATACATGCTATGTGATTGTGTAGCATCATGGCTGCTGGCTGGCAACTGATCTTGAGGTACACCATATTAAACAGTATTTCAACATGGATTCTTGTGTACTTTTCGTCGGTGTTCATGCAATTGGTGTGCCTGATTATTTCATAATTATTATTGTGCTGTTACAAGATAACATTGCGTTATTTTGCAATCATCACTGTTTTATGAGGATATAATTCTGGTAACACATCACCACCAACAGCACCCTATTTCTATGAACATGTCATTCTGTTTGCTTCAGCAGGGCTCTGAAGTTGCTCAAGTTAAATGTGTCTTGTTTGTAAAGGGCACAAAACTACAGAATTTAGAAGAGCTATAAGTGTTAAAGGTATTGGGAGAGCAAAATCAAAACTTATGTCTGCTTCCCAGTCAAGTAATTTCTATTTGTTATCATGAAATTAAAACAAAAATTAAAAAACACAATACATATTTGGTTTTGGGTAATCTGTTGTATACATTTGATCACATTAAAACAAAAAAACTTTGTGTTCTACCCAGTAATTCCAAGTGACCATAAGTACTGGGGCACATTCACTTCAAGTTGATTTGTAAAATGTAATATTTGGCTGCTTTTCCCTTTGAGACAATAACAGGGCTGCTGGGACATCAGTGTTTTCCTCAGATTGTAAAAGGCATTATCAATTTTATTTAAATCTGGAAACTAACATGGGTCAGTCTACGATTTTCCACTTTTTTCTCCTCATTAACTCCTTGGTTGCGGCTGTATGTTTTGGGTCACCATCATTCTGCAGTCCCTTTCTTTCTCCACACTTTACCTTCCCATCACTTTGGAAAAGGTTTATCTTGGTGTCACTGGCCCAAAACTGCACTGCCCCATCTTTGTATTGCTGAATAAAATTAGAATAATCATAAGTTTTATTAGAATAAAATTAATATCTTGTGTTCTTGGTGCTTATCTTGTGGTGTTGTGTTTGTAATCCTGCTGCCTCTGTCTTCTGTAAACTGTTCGGGGAATTATACCTGTGGTGTCTTTCTTCTTCAGTATATTGCCGATGTTTCTTCTGCCTGGTTTCTATTCTGTAGTTGTAACGAGTTTTTCAAATATTCTCACTTAAATGCTGGTAATTTCTTAAACAGAAAGTTATTTGGTTTCCATTGTTACACTGAAGTCAAAGTGTGTTGTCCAACAACAAACACCTGAACTAACAAGAGACACCTGTCCCAATGCTTTTGCTCTTTCAAAATAGAGGTTCTACTCTCTCGGTTTGTTCAATTGTCCCAAGGGGGGAAAACTGTATTGACTAAAAATAAAATACTGTTTTTACAGAAATAAAATATATTTTTATCATGATTATTGTTAAGTTCAAAGTGATAATCCCAGTTTAGACTTCTACAACATATTTTACTCTTCAACCAGTGAATGACACTGCTGCAAAGGGAAGGACATGTGTCCGAAATCACACCTGCACTCCAGCACCTTGAGGAATGGATCATCTCTTGAAGAAGTTCAGTTGAACAATTTAGTAACTAAGCTGTAGTAACATGCGATACGCCAATACTAACCGAAATACTTCCAACGGGGAGTTACTGGGGGGTATTGAGGAGGATTCCCATTCCCACAGAGGGACATATGGACAGACAGCACCAATGGGCAGCTCACCTCATTGATCATCTCAATCTCCCGGAAGGTCAAGCGGTCCAGCCAGTCCACCTTCACCATGTGACCCTGCCGGTGAGCCTTCGTCAGCTGGAGAGGGGCAGAGCAGGACGGAGGTTATAAAGGGTAGAGGCAGAGGAGGTTCGGGCAAGGGCAGGACGGCAGGAAAGAGAGCGTGAGTGGTGGTTGACGTGTGCAAGAGCAGGTTGTGCAGCACAGCTGTCCCAGTACTTACTCTGAGCATGCCACGGCAGCAAACCAGCACCGCAGGGCCTGACACAAGACTCCTATAAACACAGCAGTCTGATCCATCTCAGCTTTACCAGCTGTGCACCCTTTAACATAATATACTAATATAGTACACCCACATATCAGTTTATTTCAAACTTTCTAAATCAACATCAATATTCAAAAATGTTGTCAAAATAAAATAAGTCTGCATAGCCAGTACCCGGTTTTGACTAGGAAAGAGCTTGTGGTTGGTAAAACCTGAAATTGATCAAACTGCTGTTCGATGGGTGTGTTAGGTTCCCCCTGCACAGCACTGATGAGCAAAGCCCTACCCTCAGATCTGCTCTACCAGAAAGGACAAACATATCTTTAAACGCCACAGTGTTAATACACACATCCCCAAGTAATGACTCATCTAAAGCATTGAACCCCTGTGCTGGATTACAATAACTCTGAGAAAGTCACAGATGACAAGCAGCCACTCAGCTAAACTGGCTTGCTGGGTTTCTAACAGACTATTAGCTGAGGATGTACAAACCGATCTGATTGTGTAACTCAGATGGAGGTATTTCATATCCTGGCTCACCTACTGGAATGGGACTGATCAGATGTGATTAGATTAGACTGAACTGGTCAGGTTTGAATTAGGCTAGCCAAAGGCAAAATTACCCAGGCTAGATCAACAATGATATATCTGAATTAAAAGGAGTGAAATGGACTAGAATTTAACAGCTCGAAGTAAATTATCCCCTTCATCTCTAACACAGTGTAGATTCTTTATCTCTTTTCCTACCTTTGGCAACATTCCCCCTTTCTCCCAGTAAGGGCGGTCATTTGCATTAATTCTGATCAGGTCAGATACAGTACGCTACAGTAGTAGTAAATCAAAATTAACATTGGATGCAAATTTAAGACACAAACGGTCAGCTGTTACAGCGTCAATTTTGTTTACAGACCCATAATTTTCAAGATCCAATACACTTATGGGTATAATCTCTTTTTTGTCTTTGGTTAAATTATTGACATTTTTTCTTGTTAGAAACTAACCCAGTTTTAGCTTTCAAACGAGCGCTAACAACCTTTTAAAATTTAACAAGAAGCGGAAAGTGAGGTAAACACTGGTAGGTGTTCCTCGCCCATCTCTTTCCTGTTCCTCAGAGCAGCATGTGGGAGATGACCTATGTGAGCACATTTCTCCTGCTGCCTCAGCCAGGCAAGGGTGAAGTGCCTGGAGTGTTGTACAGGCACCTCAAGAACAGTCCCAGCTTATATCAAAACCTGTTAAGGTCATGAGGGTAACTTAACATCTGGTGTATGACAGATTTGTTTGACTGTCCCTCAGGACTATGTTCACGCATTTGCAAGAGACCTGTGTACTCCTGCAAAAGATGTGTTGCCAGTCAAGTCAACTACCTTTCTTTCGTGACTTTCAGACTTTCCTGTTTGCGAAACCTCTGTTATGTTCTGATAACATAAATGCCGAGCATCCATCAAAATGTCCCAGCTTCTCTGATGGAGGTACTTGACACGTCTGCTCTGCTATGGGCTCTGGTTAGCTCTGTACGCCCATGCTCTGTGGGTGTTAGGACATTCAGGTTGCAATGCACAGACATGCCAGGTCAAATGTAATTTCTGTTCCCTCTTTTCTTATTGTTACTGTTTCCTGCTTTAGTTTACATACATTTTTTCTATAAATCTTTTTGTGTTTCTGTGCAGTGTTTTCAAAGAAGCTACGTGAAGACTGCTGTTATACACACACTATCCATCCACACCCTGTCACAAAGAGCTCATGCACAGCAAGGAAAGGGCTTAGCCTAGAGACCTCCCCTGCTCTTACTCACATCACTGAGCACCTCCAGATCAGGGAGCTGTGAGAAGAGAAGCTAGTCAGTCTCCAGAACACCCTCACTTTAGCCTGATGGGGGCTAAACACAAACACCCCCCACTGAGAGGCACCTGCCCCACTACACACGGGCCAGGGAGAGGAGGACTGGCTGAATGCTACTGCAGGACTGAAATGCTTGAATGGTTCATAAATTTAGAAACCAAAAACAGTTCCAATTACTTTACAGGTACATTGCTGATATAAAGTCTACATGCCCTTTCCAAAACACTAATCCTAAAGACAAAAGGTTTAAAGTTTATACATCACATTTAAAACACACGGGTTTTGTGATTGTACTGGGACCTAGAAATATGAACTCATTCATATTCAATTCAATTTTAGTTTTATTCATCCATACACCTTTTGGAACTACCATACGCACCACACATCCTTTGTCAATGAAATAGCCCCACTCACATCTTAGCCTTTTAAAATGAACTGGCCCCACCCACCACGCAGCCTGTAGATGAACTGGCCCCACCCACCACGCAGCCTGTAGATGAACTGGCCCCACCCACCACACAGTCCTGCCCCTTAACTCTTTTAAACCCATCAATTTGCTTCAGTCAGGCACAACTCACTCTGACGTTATGAATAACTACCTCCCATGCCATCAATCACTATGTATGGGCCCCACCTTGGCCAATCGTCCCATCTGGTCCTCAGAGAGACTGCTACTAGTGCGCCCCGGGGTCGTTGTGGGGTCAGAGCCATCCCCCTCGACTCCTGGCCACACTTTCAAATCGTGCATCCCCTGACGAAACATCCTAAGGGAAAGGGATAGGGAAGAAAAACATCAGATTAATAAAAGATTAAAATCAGTGCTTCTAATTTCACTAAACATGCACCAAACATGTTTCCTTCATACCGCTACTGCTAAACAGTTTAAACTTTTGTGCTCTGATAGCCACACGAAACTATCCTCGAAACCATGATTGCCCATCCTGTGAAAAAGCACTGAGCATCTACGTCACAAGTGTAGCAGCAACCAAACACACAAAACCCGTATTTGCACAAACTGCAGTACAGAGCAGGGAGTGAAGGACCTGGAGGAGAGGATTCCTGCAAACCTCAGGGCGATGTCGCCAAATGGGGCTTGTCCACAATGAGGGAGCACTGGAAAGGACTGTGGGCCCTGTACAGGGACCAGGGAGGGAAAACCTGTTCTTTTGAGCTCATGCAGAGGACTGGATGACCACAGTTTCAGAGCTGGGACAGGGAAAAGGCATGGACGACAGCAATTGGTAGCTGTTTATCCGAATGCAAATCCAGCCCACATGTGAATTGTGAATATTTTATAACTATTAAAGAACTTTTTACAACTTTAAGTAATAATCCTATGCAGTGTTAGAGAGTGTACTCACTGTAAGATTGATATACATTGTGGAATCAAGTTTATTTTGTTAATTAAAAATAAAATAAACCATATAGATTGGGAGCTTTTCAACTTTGGTTAAAATCTACCAAATTATTCTCACAATGCCATTAAACAGCAAGTATTATTAGTATTTTTAATATTCTTATTCTTGAATTATTATTAATGGAAAATATTATTTTATTATTATTAAATTATGATGATGATGATGATTGTTATTATTATTATATTATTAGATAGCTCTTCACTGACCAGCTCTAGTTTTGGCTTTAAATTACTACAGCTTCAGCAGAAAAATGCCACCTGCCTTTTCAGACAGTGAAAGACACAGGATAAAAACGGCCTTGTCTGTGACGTGAGGAGGCGTGTTTTATTCCTCGCCGTGCAGGGCGCCGTACAGCGGGCCCAGGGGTTCCGGAGCACTCACCCGTACTTCCCGAACAGGGCGACGGTGGTGCCCCCCACAGGCACGGCTCGACCCGGCCCGTAGACGTCCCACACGGTCAGGGCCACCTGCGCGCTCTGGGGGAGGTCGGGGTACTTCACCGGCAGGCGCAGCCACTCGTTCCAGCTGCAGAGACACACAGGGGCTCACTCACGCTCACCCACGGCCCAGCCTGGGCTGGGTACCGCACGCAGCACGCTCGGAGCTGCTGAAAACCTCTGCTCTTCAGTCTCATGGGATTCCTGTGCCCACCGGGGCAAGTCAGGATCTGAAAGCCCAACGCACACCCCTTCCTACCAGTGCATACTCACTTCCACCGTGTGCTGAAGGCCTTGTAAGCCGTGCGGACAGGCAGGGCCAAGGGCTTGCCCTCAGCAAACACCTGGCAGGTGACATACAGATCAGAGCAGCTCTCCTGGTACAGCCCCGAGAAACGCAGCATGGGGTCCTGCAGCAGAGCCTTGTAGCTCTTTTGCTCCCTCTTCCCCTCAAGACTGCCTCTGACGGAGAGATAACCAAGGTATATTTACTGTACAGAAATAAAACCTTATTAACACTGTATACAGACACAGTGGACCAAGACAGGGACTGTGGGGTCAATACTGACACACTGCATCGAGACGGGGACTGTGGGGTCAATACTGACACA